ATTTACCTAAAAACCATTTTAATGTAAATCTTACTTCCGATTTACATGGGAGCTATGTGTATCTAATTCTGAACCGATTTTCAGGAAACTTAACACACATCATTTTAGGCTTTATTCAGTACGCTATACCAAATTTCGTGCAAATCGAATGATATATAGGAACTTTGACACACCATTTACTATAAATCGGACGAAAATATATATGGGAGCTATATCTAAATCTGAACCGATTTTCACGAAACTTGGAAGACATCAGTCTAGTCTCAATACAGTACGTTGTGCCAAATTTCGTGTAAATCTAAATATAGGGACTTTGGTGCACTAATTACCTAAAATCGGACGAAAATATATGTGGAAGCTATATCTAAATCCAAGTCGATTTTCACGAAATTTTACACACATCGTTTTTGACTTAATTCAGTACGCTATGCCAAATTTCGTGCAAATTGAAAGATATATGTGAACTTTGGTGCACCACTTACATTAAATCGGACGAAAATATATATGGGAGCTATATCTAAATCTGGACCGATTTTCACAAAACTTTACACACATGATTCTAGGCTTTATACAAATCGAATGATATCTAGGGTCTTTGGTAGACTATTTACTTTAAATCGGACGAAAATATATATCAATTAAGTACGCTATGCCAAATTGCGTGCAAATCGAAAGCTATATAGGGACTTTGGTGCACCATTTACATAAAATCGGAAAAAAATATATATGGGAGCTATATCTAAATCTGAACCTATTTTCATGAAACACACATTAGTCTAGGCTGAATTCAGCACGCTATGCCAAATTTCGTGCAAATCGAATGATATATAGGGACTATGGTGCTCTATCTAAATTTGAACCGATTTTCTCGAAACTTAACACACGTCATGTTAGACTCAATTTAGCACAATATGTAAAATTTCAAGCAAATCGAAAGATATATAGGGACTTTGGTGCACCGTTTACCTTAAATCGGACGAAAATATATATGGGAGCCATATCCTAATCTAAACCGATTTTCACTAAACTTGGAACACATCATTATAGACTCAGTTAAGTACCCTATGCCAAATTGCGGGCAAATCGAATGATATATAGGGACCTTTTTGCACCTTTTACTTTAAATCGGACGAAAATATATATGGGAGCTATATCTAAATCTGAACCGATTTTTCTCAATTTCAATAGGGTTCGTCCTTGGGCCAAATAAATGAGCTGTACCAAATTTCATCCAATTCGAATCATAAATGCGACCTGTACTTTGTTTACAATTTAACATGGACAGACAGACGGACGGACATGCATAAATCGAATTAGAAAGTGATTCTATGCATATTCTCAAAAGGAGCCATGTATCTATCTCGTTTCCTTTTGCCTGTTACAAACATATGCCCAAAGACATAACACCCTGTACCACAGTTTGCTGAAGGGTATAAGAAGAAATAAATAGAAAAACGTAAATATGACAAGAAATACTTACCAATCGTCATTCGTAGATATGGCAATGCTCTGAAGCTTTACTGAGAGCCCACATTGCAAGACAGTGATAGAAAGAGATCAACGACGGCGTCGAGAGCGAGGTCTATTTCAGAGTTGAACAGAACTAAATTAAGAGTAAGTGTGTGAGAGCGTAACTGAGAGATCATCAACAAAAATGACTGACGCAAAGAGAGACAAAGGGAAAACGTGCTTGGCAATCACCGCTATCGTACTATTTTGTGCATTAGTGGTCTATTTACTAATAATCGATCAAATGAAAACCGGGAGTAATTTAGAGAGATTGACTGAGAACAAACATAAACATGGCTTCGACGTAGCCTGTGCCGTTAGATTACACACTGCACGCTACAAATGCGCCATTAAAGAATTGACAAATAAAAACAAACGAAACACTGAATATGTGCAAAAAGTACTGAGAAAAGCTTGGCATTTTTTGTAATAATTTATTGAAATTGCAATTATAACACACACACACACACACTTTTTATATTATCGATAATATTTCACACAGAACGCGACACGGTCCGAAACGCATGTTTGTGACATCTTGCCAAAACGAAAGTTCCAAACAAACTGAGCTCAAACTATAGGGCAGGGTTGCCAACACTAAATATATTGGAAGCATTTGTTCTTATTTCATTGTTCAATACAATATGTACATGCTAAAGCCTCGAATCATAACATTTTGAGTGACACTCTTGGTCCAAAGGTGTCAGATAATGCTAGGTTTTTTAAATTCGTACTAGAACAACACGAAAAGTACTAAATGTGGTACCATTCGTAATTGGCGAACCGATAGGGCTAGAGCTCTAAAATTTTAAATGAGGGTCACTGGTGGAGTGTAGAATAGATGTAGCAAAGGGGTTTTTTTGAAATTCGAACTATAAGTATTCGAAAAGTACTAAACTGTACTAAGCTAGATGCAACTTCTTAGCATGTGAATGGATGGAGCTAAAAACTAGAATTTTTGAATTCAAATTAAGGTTTAGGTCAAATTTCAATTTGGAGCTGGACATTAATATTACTGTCGGAGTGTAGGATTAGGATATGTAGATAGTTTTGGAAATTTGTTCTTATGAGTACGAAAAGTACAAAATGGTACCATATTTGGTACAATTTGGATTTCGGTGAACCGATCGAGCTGGAATACTGAAATTTGGAGATATGATTACTATTGCACTGTAGAATTGAGGTATGTTGTTAGTTTGCGAAATTCGTACTTATGTGTACTAAATTTGGTAAAATTTGAATTTTGGGTAAACCAATAAGGCTGGAATCCAGAAATTTGGAAAGTTTGGATCACTGTTGGGTTGTACGATTGGGGTATGTAAGAAATTTGGAAAATTTCTACTAACAATTTGAATTTACGTGAAACGATAGATCTGGAACACTGATATTTGGAAATAAAATTATTGTTGGAGTGCAGCAATATTGGAAATTTGTACTAAATTTTACTAATTTTGATACAATTTGGATTTAGCTGAAATCCTGAACATTTTGAGTTAGGATTACTGTTGAGGTTTAGGTTTGTGAGAAATTTTAGAAATTCGTACTTATGTGTACTAAATGGTACAATATGGATATGGGCGAACTAATATACTTAAATTTAGAAATATAATTGCTATTGGATTTTTGAGGTATATAGATATGATATATAGATATATTGAACATGGTACCATTTGGATAGAGCTAGATTTATGTTGCGGTTACAGAAATGTAATTCGACCCAAATTGGGTCCAAAGAAATATATTGATGGTATAAAAATTAATACAGGTCCATGCTTTGCTATATGCCTCGATATCCATTGTCAGTATTTTGGAGGTTTTGACCATATTTTCCACATTTTAGTGACTATAATTTGGTAAAAAAATATTTTGTTCGATATTTTTGTAAAAGACTCCACTTTGGGATTCAATGAAGCAGGCCTTACGTTGGGCGCCAATGTGAAAGAGTCATCTTTGACTGTCATGTTATCGATAATATCGATAACATTCAAATATTATTTACAGAGTTGTAGTAATATTTTAAATTCAAACAAGGGTTGCATTCATAGATTTATATCTAGTTGGATAAATAAAGTAAATGAGGTTTACATCAATTCATGTTTAAAATAGTGGACTGTTTCAATGGTTTTAAACGAATTTTCTCATCGTAGTGGATGAAATTTTACATTTCGGGACATTGTTATATTTGTGTTGGTTAAAGATTCGATATAGCCCCACAATTTCTGGATTTTCTTATTGCCTCATCTCTTCTTCTTCGCCTGACACGTACTCGTCGCCTCATCTCTTCTTCTTAGCCTGACACGTACTCGTCGCTATCTGCTTTGGTAATTTCCATTATTTCAATTTTTGTGTCGTTGTTCGTGGCCCCACGATGGTCGAAATAAAGTTCGCTGGACGTTGGGCGACAATAAACCAAGCTCCACGTTGTGTGCTATAAAGCAGATCGTGAGGGGAGCTAGTATGGATTCATCCGAAACAACAAGATTAACTTTTTACTCCTTGTTTAGGAATTGCTTTCAGCTTATGATCTGAGTCCATCAACTTGGGCAAGCGTGGTTAATGATCGTAAGCCTTCAGTGTTCCTCAATATGAAATTCTGGACCGATTTAAGGAATTTTGGTAGGACATCACTTGGTGGATGGTATAAAGTGTTCCATCCGGTCAAACATACTTCTTTAATTTTTTAGCTGTTTATGAAATCGCTCTTGGTCAAAAAGGTCGTCCGCATATTCGTGGTTTCCAGTTTTAATAGCTCGACTGATCGATTAATCAACTGGAAATTTTTTTATAGCTCGCGGGTATATTCAAATTTAACTATTTATTTGTTTTTAATTTTGTTTTTTACTCAATCCACAAATACATACATCTAAAAAAATCCCAATTCTTTTCTTGAAGAACCGATTCTTCCCAGACAATTTGACTCCTTGTCCAATAGACCACATTGAACATTTAATTGTCTAAAAAAAAATAACACTCATACGCAATGATAATGATGATTAATGCAATGCAAATAATTACACATTATCTCACAAAAATAAAAATCTAAAAACAAAACGCAATCTAAATTGTTATCAACAAAATTAAATCATTCAATTTAAAATTAAAAAAGAAACATCATAAAACGAAAGCAAATTCTCTGAAAAAGAATTTGTTAACCAAACATTTTATTTGCAGTGTGAAATAGGCATTAAGAGACATTATTAAATAAAGAGTAATGAATTTTATGTGAATAAAAATAAGAGCGCCCCAAAATAAACAGAGAAATAAACAGAACAAACAAAAACAAGCACGCACACACTTTGCAGAGAGAAGAAAAAACAACAACAATAAAAAAGGGGAGCCCTTATCAAGTTTATTTACTTTGGAGAGCCAAGTACAAGCAAGCCAAAGAGCCAAGCACACACACACACATTTGTTGCTGAGTGTGATCATTGTGGTTTTAATTAAAAGAGAGGGAGAGCGTGCAAGAGTAACCCCCCATTTAGAGAGCCATAATGTATGGTTCACGTAATCTCCGCAACAATGGCTCTTTACAACAGAGTGGCCCCAATAATAATAACAACAGCAGTAGCGTCGCCGACAGCGGCAGCAGCAATGACAACAAAGCCGGTCGTTATGGTATTGGTGGTGACAATAGCAACAACACTACACTAGCAATGGCAACAACAACAGCAATGAATAACAGTGGTGGAATTCATTTGCCGAATGCAAATACAAGACAGCCTTTTACTGGCGGTGGTGGTGGTGGTTTTGCGTTTATGGGAGCAGCAGGGCAGCCACAACAGCAACAACAACTACCACAGTCACATCATACCAACATTAATCGTAACTGTAGTAGTGGTGGTGGAGCTACGACGGCAACGGCGTCAGCGACATCATCGTCGTCATCGGCAAAGCCAGTAAATTCTCCGTTTGTTGGACAAACGCATTCAGTTGAAGGTGGATCGCGTGCGCAGACGGTTGATACGATTAATAATAGTCCGATACAAAGTAGAAATCAGAGTCAGAAAAAACACCAGCAACAACAACAACCACAATTAGTACCACAAACGTCACCCGAATTTGCAACGGCAATCAATCAATTGAAAGAGCAATTTTGCCAAATAAATTTAAAGAAGAAGAATACGCCGCAAACGAACGGTGTCGTTGCCGCAGCGACAACTAATCAACACGCGAATCTTTTGCATAATAACCCAATAAATTCGGCAATTGTTGCTGGTCAACAACAACAACAAACACAAGAACAACACCAACGAAATTTTTACAATAATTTGCTGCCGCAAACGAATTTTACGAAAAATAGTGATTTGAATAGTGAATTTATCCAACAACAAAAACAACAACTAACAAATTGTCAAAATACAAATAAAAATCCCAGTGCCAATAGTAGTGGTTGTGGTGGTGTTGTTGTAACGAAAACAACAACCTTAAATTTACCCGTGACATCATACGCTGCCACACAACAGCAACAACAACAAGTTCAGCAGCAACAGCAAGAATATCCTGTTGAACAAATTTATTACAGTGACAACAACAACACAAATACCTACACATACACATATAATCCACAGGTGGGTGTTTTATTTTCATTTGTTTTTTTTTTTTCTTCTTCCATTTTTTTTGTTCGCTACGCTTTGCTGCACTTTTTGACAATTGGAGAGTGGTATTTTTTTACAATGACAGACACAAAGTGACATTCCAGTATTGTTGACACTTCTCGTGGAATTTTTGAAGTTTCTTTTATTTACATTTTGCTTTGCAATTGCTTGAGGAGAGAATTTAATTTGGGAGTGTTTCGGAGTATTTATCATAGAGATCTCAATTCACCTGAGAACGATTTTAATCGCTAGAAAAATTAAATCATTGTTAAAAAATTTTCTATAGAGAAAAAGAGGCTGTATTTTTCTATGCACAAAGAATCAAACCTCAGTTTATGAGATTTAGAGAATATAACCTTTTTTAAAAAAATTGGCTCTCAGTTCCAACTGACAAAAATTGGAAGCCCAAATGGATCAAAATATATGGACCTTATAACCATAAAAACCTGTCAGCAACCCGCGTATAGACCCTGTTGGATATATTCCAGAGGAGAAAATCTAGACCCTATATTTACCGAAACAATGGACTTTGAAAAAATATTTAATGCAGAAATATTTCCCCTAATCAAGGTAAAAATATTTACCTCTGGTAAAAATATACAAAAATTGTGTCGTTTATATTAAACTAGAGCTGTTCTGAAAAAAATCAGATATCAGTTCCAACAGAGTTTAGTAAAAACGACCAGATTTTATTTATTTTTTTTTACCAGAGGTAGTTATTTTTACCCTAATTATGGGAATGTATTTTTTCTTAGGGGACCCGTCTATGCGATTTTTTGATCCGGAAGTCCAGGTACGGTACCGATTAATCCGACGGATCCGATTAATATAAAATGAGTAACATTTTAGAATGGGGTTATATGAAACCGTTTGATCTTTGGAACCTGATTTTTTTTGAAAAACCTCCTGAAAGTAGAACAAGGGCCCATTATAGTCCCTCACCAGTACTGACTCAAATGATAAGGCCCATACCTTTTGATCCACACCAGATACAGCCATATTAGGATGGTGAGGGACTGTATCTCCCAAACGATTTGAGATAACCCCTTCATACAGCCACTCAATTTTCATTGAGGATCTGTAGAACCGGATACACGTACCCGAACTTCCTCTGTTTATACAAGTTTATTTTTTAAAATTTTTTTTAATTAATTTTTAATTTGTTTTTAAAGTATGATTATCAGACCTTTATTCTGTATACAAAAAACGAGTTAAGTCGGGATCTGTAGTAGGAGGATTTTTTCTATAGAAAAACATCAAACCTTTGTTCAGCAGCGGTAAATGTATTCAATTTTGCAAGGTTTGAATCAAATCGGAAGTTCTGGGCCGATATCCTCCGTCATCGAAATTGTTCTAAGTTTGGAATAAATATTACGATGTGCAAAGTTTGAATGAAATCGGTTACTCGCTTCGAGAGTATTCGTGCCGGCCAGACAGACGGACGGAATTTGTAAATCGACTCGAAATTGTCTGAAACGGATTTGGGCCAAAGAAACATGAACATGATATATATTTAACCTCATTAGCCATAAGGGACGGTATAAAAAGCCCCTAACTAGGCACAAAACCCCTCAGTTTCGCAGCTCAAAATTAGACCTCAGTTCATCTGAGGTCTCATGTGAGAATATTTTTCTGTACAAAGAATATCGGACCTTAGATTATAATGAGGACATTTGTTTTAGAAAATAAGACTCATGTCCGAACTTAGTGCATTATTTTAGATAAGAATCAGACTCCAGATCTAAAATGCTCCCAAATTCTTACGTATTTGTCAAACACACTATAAATTTCCCGACTTATTTTTAGGTATTATGATGTCAAAAGCAAGTTTGTTGCTCCACAATTATGCTGTTCATTGTGTTGGACAATTTCGTTCCTGAAGCGGTTCGAGCATTTTCGGTTAGTTTCTCAAAAGGACCCAGGCCATTCATTTAGTTCCATCCTTGCTTTTAGTTCAAACGTTATATTGGCACATGTCAGTTTATTCGGCCAATGAACGGCAATATCTACATCAAGGCCAGACACAGATCCGTTTTTACGCTCGTTTTCACACAAATTACATTCAAAGAGAGCAGGAGTGTAGGGGATTACCTGATGCGAATATATCTGAACAATTGGATCAAAAGAAACTGAACAGAAACCCGGACCTAGTTCATTTCCTCAAAAAAGTATGAAATCAGGTCGGAAATAATTTAGCTGTGGATGTTGACCCATAAAAATCCGATTTTCCGATATTTTACCTTATGAGCTGATGATTTAATCGCAAAAACCGGTCGGATATTAAATGTTCTCCCCGACAAAATTACATGTTCGAACAATAATTGTAATCAAAAGAATTGGTCCATCAACTTACTTATCAAAAATTGACTCTTGTCCAGGAATTTCAGAGAGCATTTCGGCATAAAACGCAAAAAAAGAGGTTTCGTTGTTGTAGCAGAACAGAATACATCTTCGTGTCCTCATGTAAGTGATCTATTTGAGACATGAGTCCTCAGGGCGACATTCTGACAGTATTGAATGTTTCATTGCGCAGTGACGTTAGCGGACCGCAATTGAGCCGCATAGTTTACCGTCCTATTCACGTACTGCTGGGTAGTGACTTTAAAAACTTGTTCATTGCTCAGACGACTTATATGGGCTATCGAATGTGATTCCTATAACCTTGGGGTAATAAGTGATCGGAATTATGAACCCACCGACTTGTACATTCTAATTATCGCAGATATCATCAATTTTGCCACAGACGCCATGATCGTACAATCATCCGCAGATGTAATGATCTAAACATATGCATCTAGTTCAGGTCGTTCATTTCTAGGAATAGTTCCAAAGAACGAACCGAATCTCAATTTGAAATGTTATTTCTGAATTTCAAGTACGACTGTCGTCCACAACATATATAATTCACAATCCAACGTTTCAAACACGCCAAACCTTCGAGGTTCTCAAACAGTTTGGTTTAGCCCTTTCGTTATGTGTGATGAAATTGCGTACAAAGGTGTTACTGTACTATGCTGCTTCCGGAATCCGTGTTCAGCAAAGTTTCAATTTTTAATTATCAATTTAAATCCCCGGCCTTTCATTTGCCTATGAGATTTTATAATTATTTTTTTTTTTAGTTTTCAAATTTTAAATCCGTTTTAGAACTCCACTTAAAATAGCATTAGTTCATCCCAATAGCTAATTTGCTTCCTTCTAAGCAGTACTTTCAAAAATTGTATTTTTAACCACTACCAACCAAAACTATGTTACTGAACTTTAAATGATTTAATTTTGCGATTTGTTTTTCCCCTCTCACTTTATGAATATGAAGTCACAACCAGTCACCACCATCTACCCTAATAATAAAACTAAAGCACATTAGCACACAAACAACATTTCGCACATGTTTAAATAATAAAACAATAGCAAGAAAGAACTAATGCAACAACAACAACGACGACTACACCGGTGCAAATTTCATACAAAATTTGTCGGCAACAACAAACAACCACAAGAAGAAGATATTAATCGTGGCAAAACAGCAACAAAACAATTAATAATCTAACACACAAACCTCTTCGTTTTTTGATATTCCCATTTGTTGATATCTCGGTAAAGTAGACTCTCTTTCTCACCTTCTCTGGTGTTCAACGAGAGTGGTCTTTGCCCAACCGAAAAAAACAAATCTACCTTAGCCTATGGGTATGATAACAAATTGTTTGTTGTTGCTGCTCATCATTGCCGGCCACTGTCGTTGAATCTTTTTCTTCCTCCTTTTCTTCTACTTATTGTCATTTATATGCCTCTGTGTTTGATATGGCATATCTCTACTCTTCTTCTTCTATGTGTGTTGCCCCCAAAATAGTTGTTTGTTTCGGTTTACGTTTATTTTAATTTCTTCAATTCGTTTTATCATTCCCACTTTTTTGCCTGCTCTTGCACGATTGTTAGGTGTGCGTGTTAGGTTGTGTATTTCCCCGTTCATTGTTGTTTTTGTTGTGTGTCTTGTGACTTTCTTTCTATGCTGTGACTGCTGCTGCCCGGTGTCTCTATCTCTGCCAACGTCGCTGCTGCTATGACTGCGATCTGTACTCGGTTGCAAAGCTTTCTTGTGTGAATGAAGCACGAATGCCACAGCGATCACACTGCACGCACATTTGTACACACATACACAGTAGTCACTACGACTGAGTAGTGCGACTTAATGTGTTGCGTTCTGTCCACCAGACACTGAAGTAACAACAATAACAACTATCTATCCAACTGCCAGAGTTCAAGTTCTATTTTTCTTATGCATTTCTTTCTACCCAATTGCAATTTTGTTGTTGTTGGGGAGAATTAAGTTTTCTTCTGTTTCGTTGTTTTTGTTGTTGATATTAGCATTAGGTGCCAAATTTACTGTTGCTCTCCTAATTGTTCTCTTGTGCTTGGTTGTATGGGAGATAGATGAGCATAACATGTTTTGTTGTGGGGGAAATAATCCCCATGAAGGGATTTGTAGGGAAAAAATAAAGAAATTATAAGATTTTAGGCAAAATTGGACAACATTTTGGATAGAGGATAGCAAATAATTTGACTTTTAATTTTTGATGGATTTCTTTAACACTTTAGTATTTTTTATATATAAATTATATTAATACATAATGAATAATTTATATTAATTGTTTATTTCAGTAGTGTTGGCGGGTTATTTGGGATACCATTTGTATTTTGTTTTTGCAAAATAGTCAGGCTTAATCCCAGTTTTTTTTTGTTTTTATAAAAAACAACTATTTATTAGTGGGGAATGTATGGCATTGTCCGCCGAGGGGTAAGGCAGGGAAGACTACTATAAGGGAACTGATGAGGATCAGTGGCGAGATCCGAAACTATAGTCTTCCCTGCCTTACCCCTCGGCGGACAATGCCATACATTCCCCACTAATAAATAGTTGTTTTTTTTTATAAAAACAACAAACTGGGATTAAGCCTGACTTAATTGTTTATTAATAT